TTAAAATGCAATCATATTTTTTTATTACGGAGCATATTTCTCTGACCGCAATAAGACATGTCGCCAAATGCATAAATTACAAATAAAATTTTACAATCGGCATACTTACGTTTATGCAGAATCGATTGTTTGATCGTTTTGCAATGCGATGTTTGAGAACGTTTCATTTCGCAAGTGATCGATGTTGCTGAGAAACGCTTCCCAGAATATCGACCGCTTAAAGTTGGTTTCCATTGAAGTGGTTTGTCATCGTAGACTAAGGTGAACAATTGGACCGCGCAGAATTTTTATTTTCAGCGAACAAGGGTTAGCGTTGTGTAACTTTATCAAATAATTTTGTGTTTTTACTTGTGCATTATGAATTTGACATAAAGTAGTAATTCGTTCACTTTAGTGGAAACGCTGTCTTATTTTTGACGACGGAACTATAACCACTAGAAGCGTTATAAAATCACGTGATTTTGTTTAAAACATTATTTTATTGTGCTGCTACAAACAAAATCTATTGATACAAATATCCTTTTTAAATGAAGTGTTTAGAATTTAATAAAAGTCATCTTTTCTCTTTTGTTTGATTGACATCTAAAAAGACCGAGTTAGATTATCAATTAAGTTTTGTAAGTAAGTTTTTAAAGTATTATCTTGTCTTTTTAATTATTGCTTAAATATTTTTTTTAAATGCATGTACATAAACTAAACAACGATTTTTATACGCATTATGTTAAATGGATCCTTTGAAATAGATAAATAAAACATTACGTAGTGCTCGTGAGAGTCGTGTTTCTAATTAAGGACGATATATAATTAGCAGCTTACCTTCAATAACCGCAAGAAGCAGTAGAGTTTCGTGCGGCTGCGAACAGGATATCGAATTACTTGTAAAAGCCTACGACAGCCGGCTAGTTGTTAGTAAAGCATATCGCGTTTGCGAGAGAATGTTTCTGCTCTATTTGAATAAGAAAATTTGTGCTTGTTTATTTCTATCTAGTTTTGAAATATCATCTAGTCAATTCTATCTTTCGAAATTAGAATGTTTATTTTTTTTCTATTCCGTCAGTTGTCTTTGGTTTCTTTCTTTTCAATTTGATACGGTTGTTAAAGTAGTAGATTTTTTACAACGCTTATTACGTCCTGTTTACAAAAAGCTTAATAGTCAGCCTTCGTATGAATTTGTTGCGGCTGTTTGAGATGCGTGGGCACCATACGAATATCGGCTTATCACGCCAGTGCAGCCTCGTGCCGGACAAAGAACCGGTCGCAACGAGGTTGCACGCCACCGTTATAACAAGACCTTCACAAATGTATTAGACTGCAGTGTTGGTGTCGGCACTAAGAGGTCAGTTTTACCCGGACATGTCAGTCGAGTCGGTTAACACGCACTTGCGTTCAAATGTTGGAAGCGCTTTTTTTAAATCTCCCCTCGTCTTGACTCTCCCCGTGACTACAAGTGAATTCAATACCATTGGGTTTGTTTTTATTTCGCCTCGTGATGTTTTGAATAAATTATACACGAACGCGCTTAAAGTTTGCGAAACGAAAATTTGAAGAGCATCGCCGAATACAAAGTGCGCTTTAAGCTCGACGATACCAAGTCAAGACCAGAATAAGCTTAGTTAATTACGTCTGATTTAGTTTGCTTGGAAAATTGAGGATTTATGACGAATTTATGATGATAAATTTTACACAAAATGTTTTGAATACCAATACAAGAGTTGTTATGCTTATCTTTAAAAAGTTTATTATACCCGTAAAATTCATTAGACCTCATTACAAATTTAATTTTATAGAATTTATTGTATGGCGGTTTCACTATCTACAAATACATTGCATACCCTAATGTCATTAATATCTGCCTACACGTTTACATCTATGTACAATCGGGGAAAATGGCGATGGTCCACCTTAAATTGCTACAATCGTTTGAATATTTCGAAGCGAGACGCGGAACAAAAATCAATACAACGCAATTTACAAATGTGTCTGTACGAAAAAAAAGACAGTGATACACAGGTAACTTCTTTTTATTTCTTGTTTTTTCCTGAAGTGGTACACCGCGGATTTCCACAACTGTACATAGTACAAGTAGCTAGTCTAAGGGCGCTTTCCATTAATTACATTAAGCACCACTCATCGACGTGTTTAACTGGTGTACATATGCTTAATGATCGTTAGTTACCGACCTTCGTACTGACGTGACGTGACACGCTGTCCCGTCCCGTCCCGCGGCGTGCCAGCGTGCTGATTGATGAACCTTGCACTGAAGCTTGTACTCGTTGTTTGATATTTTTATCATTCAACCCGGCTCACGCATCACCTGAATCTATGTTTAACTCGTCGTCTTTCTGTATTCGGTTAGTGACCGATGGTGTTTAAATATGATTTGTTTTGCATCGTTAGTGGCTACGATTACTAAAACATTTCGTTTTATACTTAACTTACGTAAAAGGCATACATTCTTGTGGTATATTTCCTACGTAGTGTGAGATGGAATTTCTCCGTTTGACGTATTTCTTGATCGATTGGCGTTCGTGAGGCCTTGAGGCTTGACGGTCAGGTGGGAAGGGTTCAAGGTTTGATGTAGGCCTTGTAGTGCTTTTAATAAACTACCTTATCCTTGTGAAATAAGGTGTAAAATAGTTTGCCGTACATTCGGAAGGAAGTTTTACCCGATGTATTTTGAACCTAAAAATATTTTATGGTTTTTTTTTAAAGTTTTCCTGGCTATTATCAATCGAGTCTACATGTGTGCGACATAGCTCTGAGTTCTTTTAACTTTGTTGGATTTATCAGTAACAGAACATGTTTTTTTCGTATTCAAAATCAATAGGGTCTAAAAAATATACGTTTTAAAATTGACAGAAAATATAACAATTAAAATATTCAGTGTTTTCTTAACGTCGAAAAATCTTTGAAAAATAATTTCTGGAAATAAACCTGTTTTTCAATACCTGCCGCGTGTTTGTGACACGCGTCTACTTTGGCCTTGCTACCGTAACCCTGGGGTTATGCCGAAACATTTATACAATAACTATACTCATACTTCCCTCTTGTTCCTTCCATTAAAAAAACCGATGAATTTTGTTTTTTAATAAAAAAATTGTAGTAAAAGGACACGTGATTATTGTATTTGAATAAAATTAGATCTTCACATCAACTGATTTTTTTATTATTGAAAATAATATGATGCCATAAAATCAAATTTTATCGCTAAAGACCCAGCAGTCAAAACTTTTAAGTCAAGAGATTTTTTTATAATAATAAGGTGGCAAACGAGCAAGCGGCCACCTGAATCCACCGAAATAGAAAGCTGCTCATAAACATACGCAATTGCAGATGCGTTGCCTACTCTTCAGCTTCCACTTCACGCCTGTTTTCTGTGATTAATCAAGTATCAATACAACAATGTGTTTATGCAGTTAACAAAACGGATTAAGTTTACTAAAAACTTGTTATCGTTTTATATAGATTCAAAAGAATATAAGATGTTTGTTATTTTATATGAATCTTGTATTACAACTTTGTTTTTAAATACATCCAATGTCAACTAAAGTTCCTTGCAAATGTCAAATGTATCTGGTTGTATAATATTACGCGTGTTGTCTTTTATTATTTACGTTTAATGCTAAAATTATTGTTTTTATTTTATTTACAGAATTGTATTTAGAAAAATCATGTTAAATATCAATTCTCACTGCTTAATTATTGTCAATATCTTTTTAAATGATTTTTAAACTGGCGAATTACCATGTTTATGATATTAAACATATTAATTGCTAGCTTTCGCCCGCGATTCCGCCCGCTTGGAATTAGAAAAACCAGAAGTAGTCTATGTGTTCTTCCAGACTATCCTCTATACATCTATGCGTCCAGGCGTTTAGGCTACAAACTCTAACAAACATCCATCCATCTATCTAAACTTTCGCATTTATCATATTACTACGATAAGTACGATGATATGGTTATTATTGTAATGAAGATGTACACAGTCTAGTTGTTTATTTTATGAAATTAGTAACCAAATTCATTTATTTTTCATTTATTCATTTTATTAATCTAACGTATCGTATTGTTGTACTTTGTATTTAACTCATCGGCTTAATATCCTGTTTTCCTGTTGTACATACAAACACAAATATAGTTCGGAATTAACTATTGAATTAATTATTGAATGTAAAAATGTCTTTTTAATTAATACCACGTTATCACACGCATTGACCACATTTTCACGTGAGAACGGAAACCGTTCAATGTAACGGTTCGAATTGTAAGTGTGGTTTGACTTTACTGTGATAGCTGTTGCAATTGTAACCTATTTAGTAAAATGTCTGGCCTACTTGAACGATATTTAAAAAAAAACAACTTTTTTAATTTCCCAAACTAGGATAGTACCCTGTGTGATGGCACCGAGCCCCCGTGGTAATTATAATAATAAAGCCTTTATTGCTGAAGATTGTACATTTTTTTATGATTTTTTTTGTTCAAGAAGATTGTATACATGTCTATGTCCCGTGGTAATATTGGAATGTTAAATCTTACAGTTGGTTTTCACTGGACAAGTCAACCTTCTCATTTTGGTAAAAAAGAAAAATAGAAACTCATTTTGTGATATTCTCTTGACAATCATGGTTAAAATCTATATTTGACCAGAACAAAGTAGGGCGTCGGTAGCGGTATATATTTCTTCTCGCGCCTTTCAATATCGAGCAAATTAAAATACCATTCCAATCGACCTTCATTACTGCTTGACCGGTTTGTGAACGTGGCGCCGTTTAATTTGAATAGCAACACGAGCCTACCATCACCGCACCAACTTGTACGTTGTTCCAATAAAACGATATCTTTTGTAAATGACACTCGCATCATTTATGTTAAAATTTAACTATCTCAGTGTCTTCAAGGAGAACAAAAGGGTATTTTCTATTCGTATGCGAAGTAATTTTTTCAATATTTGTTACGTCGTAGTTTAAGATTTGTTATTTAATTGTATGTTTTCGTTTCAGGTAATGAAGAGTCCACAACGTGTATTTTGAAAGGAAACTGGGAATTTTATGAGAGGTAATTAAAAGTTTCTGATCGCTAGAGTGTTAGCAGCTAACGTCTAGTATGCTTTAGAGCGTGCGCACACTTGAAACTAAACTATCGCACAACTGTTTTGTCTCGCTTTGATTCCTTTCAGCTTATACGGAGGTGCGCACACTACTCGATTTTTAGTTGTGCAACTAAACAGTTGAATTGGCTGCGAAACAATCGACAATCGCACAACAGTTGTGCGATAGTTTAATTAAAAGTGTGCGCCACTTTTGTGATTAATTCACGCGTCAATGTTAACACATTACTAAATATTATTGTTAGAGATAACTTAGATGGATTACAAATAAAAATCAAAAGACTTACCGAAGTAAATCTTAATTATTTGCATAAATTCACGGTATATTGCGTACAAACTAACAATTTATACTTTAAAGACTTGTTTGTTTAGTAAATGTGTATTCTATAAGGATTGTATTTTCACTATTGAAAGGAAAATTCAGATATATGTCTACCATTCTAAGTATGCTTTCGGGGATTTACTTAGGACTGGTTGGATTGTCCCTTTTTCACTCACAGGTGTCACAAGATCCCACATCCTTGTGACCATTGTGAGCGGTTGTTTTTTCCAACCGAGCGGCAGTCGTAGTGTTAACAATGCTCTATTTTCCGTTTGCTGTTTACCAATTCGATTTATGCGGTTTGTATTGTTACGTTGCGGTTTGGGATTTTTTTTTTGTTACCAATGAATGCTATCCATTTTGCTATGAAACTATTGTTCTTTTCTAGTCCTCCAGTATGGTCTAGTTTGTTAACACGTCCCATGCCAATACGATTTTTATCACGTGAAAGTTAAATCTCCAGATCGTTGGCATTGAACGTGTTAAGTAGAGTAACATTGATAACTGTAATCTATAGTATTTATAGGAGGCGTAATGATATTTGATGTTTTGAAATGATTCTTTCTTATTACTATATTGCAAATATGGTTTTCTTTTTGTATACGACAAAGTTGTTAAGCTATCATTTTAAGGTTATCTAGTAAAATATATACGGTACTATCTATCTGGGAGCGTGTGCTCTTTAACGCTAAAAAGTTTACCTTATCCAAGGTTAAAAGTTTTATTTATAAACGAGTATAATACTGTATTGTAATTATTTGTTTACGCATCGGTTTCATCGACCGATCTATTATCTGCCTCGAAAGGGGAACGTGTAATTACATATCGTAAATAACTGAAGTTAAGTAGAAACACTTGGTTTTATTACGATCATATTACGATAGAAATCTTTTAAGTTAATATGAGATGGCTGATAGTTTTTTTTTTATGCTCAGTAGGATGTAAATGTACAACTAGTTCACGTAGTAAATAACCATCGCTTTCCAAACAATCAAAAGAATTGTGAATGCGTTGCAAGGAATAGTTCGGAAGAGTAGGCGAGTAGAACGAGCTAGTCGTGATATTATAAAGAAAGCTGTTACTCGTCAGACGTATCGACGATAAATTGTCGTTCTTAGTTCATTTCTGTTATCTGTTATCTGACAAATTAAAGATGTCAAAGCATTTTATACTTTACATTTTAAAGACGTGTATGTTCGAATCAAGCTGTCTTATACCCAAGTCACGCTCAGTAGACTGCCAGCCCGCCCGCGCACGCACCGCGACATTATTGTGAAACTCTTTGCTCAACCCCAGATGTTACAACCAGCAACTGTCGAAGGCCACACGTCAATCGAAGCCAAAGGCCCTTAGCACAATTGTGGAAACTATGCCTAGTCAGATGGTCGCAGAAAGTGAACCGTGTTCTTATCTAAGAAGGGAAGAAAATTACGACTAGAAAGTAAGAAAATTTTTCGACCTGTCAATTTGTTTCTTGACAGCTGAACTAAATCGATCTCGGTTCCATTTTTATAATTCTGTCGTAGCATTGTTGATCCACTTGCTTTCAAATTTACTAACTCTAAAGTTCGCATCAGTTATCGTAAATTTTGCACTCCGCTTCATACTAGTCTATACTATTATAATAAAGCGTAAACACACATTTCTTTGTTGCCTAAGATGTCAGCAATTACAGCATATTTTTGAATAATTCTTTTTTTTTTTAAAAGACCAACAATTACGTTAGGCTTTAGGCTATATATTTTAATGCCATTAAACTTAGGGGGTTAATATTTTGAATAAAACCTTAATGTGGGTAAGAGACCATAAGTTGCTGCCAACATCAAGGAAGCAAGGTTGTCATCATGTCATGTCATTTTGACATTTGTAATTGATAATGTGACAGATGTAAACAATAAAATTAAAAATTTTTATAACTTCATGCGGATGAAGTCGCACGGGAACAGCTAGTGTAATATAAAAATCTTTGGATTTATTTTAGCAATCAATATATGAATTAGTAGACAACGTAAGTGTTCAAAGTGAACGCATAAGATTTGTAATTTTGTTGCATAAGTATAAAATGTATCTAAAAATCTAGCACAGAATTAATTTTGATTGATTTTGACTTAATTGCCATTTAAGTAAAGTGACATAAAGGTAACCGGTTAGTAATAAACTTTCTATATTGCCTATTTGATTGATTTTTTCCGGTGTGAAGCAAGTATTAATTTATGATTTGATACAGGAATTTAAAGCTGATTTATATTTACTTGATTGTCTTATATCTATTGTGAATAGGTTATTATTAATCGATGGGATACTTCTGAAGAGTACTGGTATGACAGAAATCTGACATATACGCTTTGCCATTCAAGTGAAGATAGGGCGAATTGCTAGTTGTTTTTTAAATGTCTAACGGTGTATTACGATCATGTGAATTAAAGGTTATAAAGTTGGTATCTGTGTCATCATCATCAACTAGCCCTTATCCCTTATGAAGGGTCGGCACAATATGTGCTGCTCTTCTATACATCTCTATCAGCCAGTTAGAAGTTGATGTCTGTGTGCGACATGTATTATCTTTTAGATTACATTTTTAATTATGTGTACAAACATACATAAAACCTCAGTGAGATTAACAATGTTACGTATAATCACCTAACAACGAAACCTGATTTTGTATGTGACAGGTTGGATGGACCACTTTTAAACGTGTCGGAGCCTGTTTCACTGTTCCTCTTACTTTGTGGCATTGCATTTTGTTTTTTATTTATTTTTTAATTCAAAGTTGTTTTGAAAGCTTGCAAGTTGAAATTACCCGTGTTTAAAGTGGAGTGTGGGCGCCGTGGTCGAGCCAGTTTTGGTTTAAGGCATTTATGATGCTCGGATAAGATTTTATCTTGCTTATACTCGCAGTAACAAGATTTTTTAAATCTATATTTGTGTACATCCTTATACGAATGTTTGAATTCAAAAAGTAAAATGCGAAATTTCTTAACTAAGTTGTCTTCACACTTGGGGTTAGTTTCTTGTTTTTATTGCTCATTTAACTTATTTGTCTGCCAGAGTTTTTTTTTTTAAAACACAAGTATTGTTCAATAACTTGGCAGCAGTAGTTTCCGTGTATCCTTCGCCTATTTATACAACTTACGTTTGCCTGAGCGTACATCTGACTTCAGTCCAGGAATAGTAAATACGCATTTATCCTTGCCCAGTTAACCAGCGAGAGATGTTGCAGCGATCACTCTGGTATATTTAAGATAATTGCCAGAAACGTTCGTTTTATCCCTTAATTGCCTTCCGCTTAGATAGCGCTTGCACTCAGTTGTCTGAGTGCGTGACGCATGCGGGTCGAAGGGGTCGTATTTTGGGGGAGAAATTGTACAGTCATCATTGTGAAGTGCTTGTACAAAAGTGTCTGGGAGTACAAAAATGTTGAATATATTATGTTCATTTTATCTTAAAAACTCTAAAAGGTTTATCCCTTCACAAGAAACTATCATCGTTCTCCTAATCCTAGTGAAGTGATTGAAAGATTATATTAATTCCTAGGATCGTTTAAGCTAATATTCTTTGATAAGTTATATTATTTCGTCAAAGTTAATCCGCTCTTTGTCTCTAAGAACATGTAAGTCAAATATTAATCTTGTACAATGCAAGTCATTGAACTGCCTTACTAATAAATAGAATTGATTGCCTCTATATTTTCTTAACGGATAATTTTATTGGCTTTAGTTTCTGATAGTGTGATAAAATTAAGCTGTAGATTAATCTATTGAACATATATAACTTTTAATTTTACCTATTACGATTTTTTTTAATGTAACATAGAGACTATTACTTAGAACCGTGAAATGGGTACTAAGGGAAGATTACTTTTTACAGGTTATTTTATACGATAAACATACATTAAGGGATTGCCCAACTACTTCAAGTGGCAGTTATTGTATTTTTATGTTCTCAACATATTTGTTTTAATCTTACTAATGTAAATGTGAAAGTTTAGATGGATGGATGTTTGTTAGAATTTTTTTATTTAATAGTTATACAATTATGTATTTGTTGTAGAAAACAATTTTATACTAATTTTTATTGATGAAAAACTTTAACGTAAGAAAATCCATCAAAGGTAATATTTATTACAAGGTAAACTATTAAGAAATAAATCTGATGATGGTTCAGATGACGTTTAAAATCGTGTTCTGAATTATACATGACTCTGACGACTATTGCATTATTAAATATATCCTTTATTCATCACTACACGACAGGGGATAAACTCTTGCCAATGAATGACGGTACGGATAAACGAAAAACCTCTCGCTTAGTGATTAAAATTTTAAATTGATTTAGGTTCTTGTATCCTCCATCTAATGTATAGAAAACAGCAGCATCCTTTATTGATGCCAACTTTAAAAAAAAGATGCTATGCGATTTCTTTATAAACTAGATTTAAAACGTAAATGTCAACACTGAAGTATTTTACCTATTGTCAAAAAAGGCTACATTTATTCTCTAGCTTAGGTATGTAGGTAATATCCTTTCATCATCATGTCGTTATCTAACATTCTAAATTATACTGATATTATAAATACAATGGTTTAGATGGATGGATGGATATTTGTTAGGGTTTGTAGAGTTAAG